ATAACGCAATGATTACATACAAGTCCAGGGCGTAATAATACCTCAGCTTATCCCTTTAACAAATAAAATACAAGAAGCTGCACTCATTTATTTTTTACACGATTCTCTTCGTATAAATTAACATTTATATATATATTTAAATTTTATTTTTCGATTTTTTGTCATTTGTTTTTTTTTTTTTTGGTTTTTTTTTATTTGCATTGCATTTTGTAAACATTTTTCAAATGTTAAAAAAATAACTATAACAGAAAACAATTCGCTAATTATAACAAAGACACAAAAATAAATACATTGCTCTTAATCTTTTTATTAATTTAATTTTTTGCACTGTTTGTTTTTTTTCATATGTATAATATAATCTGTTATTTTCTATTTTTTTATGTATGTAACTGGGTTTTTTTGGTGTGTGTGTGGGGGGGGTTGTGTATTTTTCAAAAATTGTTCGTTGCTTGGTTGTTGGTTTTTTTATTTGTAATTTGGTTGTTTAATGCAAATCGTTTTTGTGGGAATTAATTTTTTAGTTCTCCTTCTAAAGAGAATTCAGCTTTTTTATTCCTAAATTTAAAAAAATATAAATAAAAAAAAAATTTTTTACCCAAGTGACGAGATCGTAAGCTCAATAGAAGAGGAACAAAAGAATTACATAAAACTAAAATTCTTTTGGAAAATCTTCTAAATCTTACAACCGCACTTATAAACATTTACATCTTTCTCCACTTTGTTATGCTTTCGTTCAACCTGAACGAAGTAACATAACCATGTAAGTTTGTTTTGTCTGTTACAACAAAAACCCCTTCGTCGACCGTGCCTGTGTCTATTAATAGAACAGAGTTTGGCTTGCTTGTTTGGGATACCATAGTATTTTGTTGTTGCAAAATCGTCAGGCGAAATCCCATTATTGTTGTTTTTATAAAAACAACGTTTGTTTATGAGTGGGGATTTCGCCTGACGATTTTGCAACAACAAAATACTATGGTATCCCAAACAAGCAAGCCAAACTCTGTTCTATTAATAGACACAGGCACGGTCGACGAAGGGGTTTTTGTTGTAACAGACAAAACAAACTTACATGGTTATGTTACTTCGTTCAGGTTGAACGAAAGCATAACAAAGTGGAGAAAGATGTAAATGTTTATAAGTGCGGTTGTAAGATTTAGAAGATTTTCCAAAAGAATTTTAGTTTTATGTAATTCTTTTGTTCCTCTTCTATTGAGCTTACGATCTCGTCACTTGGGTAAAAAATGTTTTTTGTCATAGAAGTTATTTTTTTTAAATAACTTCTGGGGAGAATATCCCAGACAAGAAACAAGGGAACTGATGAGGATTGGTGGCTCTTTCCGAAACCTAGGTATTCCCTGCCTTACCCCCTGGTAAACATTACCATCGTTCTCCACTCATAAACAAACGTTGTTTTTATAAAAACAACAATAATGGGATTTCGCCTGACGATTTTGCAACAACAAAATACTATGGTATCCCAAACAAGCAAGCCAAACTCTGTTCTATTAATAGACACAGGCACGGTCGACGAAGGGGTTTTTGTTGTAACAGACAAAACAAACTTACATGGTTATGTTACTTCGTTCAGGTTGAACGAAAGCATAACAAAGTGGAGAAAGATGTAAATGTTTATAAGTGCGGTTGTAAGATTTAGAAGATTTTCCAAAAGAATTTTAGTTTTATGTAATTCTTTTGTTCCTCTTCTATTGAGCTTACGATCTCGTCACTTGGGTAAAAAATGTTTTTTGTCATAGAAGTTATTTTTTTTAAATAACTTCTGGGGAGAATATCCCAGACAAGAAACAAGGGAACTGATGAGGATTGGTGGCTCTTTCCGAAACCTAGGTATTCCCTGCCTTACCCCCTGGTAAACATTACCATCGTTCTCCACTCATAAACAAACGTTGTTTTTATAAAAACAACAATAATGGGATTTCGCCTGACGATTTTGCAACAACAAAATACTATGGTATCCCAAACAAGCAAGCCAAACTCTGTTCTATTAATAGACACAGGCACGGTCGACGAAGGGGTTTTTGTTGTAACAGACAAAACAAACTTACATGGTTATGTTACTTCGTTCAGGTTGAACGAAAGCATAACAAAGTGGAGAAAGATGTAAATGTTTATAAGTGCGGTTGTAAGATTTAGAAGATTTTCCAAAAGAATTTTAGTTTTATGTAATTCTTTTGTTCCTCTTCTATTGAGCTTACGATCTCGTCACTTGGGTAAAAAATGTTTTTTGTCATAGAAGTTATTTTTTTTAAATAACTTCTGGGGAGAATATCCCAGACAAGAAACAAGGGAACTGATGAGGATTGGTGGCTCTTTCCGAAACCTAGGTATTCCCTGCCTTACCCCCTGGTAAACATTACCATCGTTCTCCACTCATAAACAAACGTTGTTTTTATAAAAACAACAATAATGGGATTTCGCCTGACGATTTTGCAACAATAAAAAAAAAATAATAATAAATACACACATAATAAAGCGAGGATTGATGTAGTCGAAGTATGTTAAAAATAAATGATTAGAAAGTTGAGAAAGAACCATGTGATACCCTAAATCAAGACATATACCCATATAAATAAGTTACCCCTGCCAAGGCCCTTATTTTTTTGTCATGAAGTGAAAAATTTTTTTTGTCATAAAGTGAAAAAAAAATATTTTTGGGTTTATCATTTGAAGAAGAAAATTGGTAAAATCCCGAATTATTGAACTCTTAGAAACATAAGCAGCATAGAATGACCAACAATAGTGCGGAGCTGACTATATGATACTCTCGACCACCACTAGACATATATAACTTTTCTATCCTTAACGAAAATATATTTTTATATTGGGAATTTGTGTGAGGTAAATTACACCAACAATTATAGATATTCTTCAAAGCGTATTACTACCTTAATATTAGATCGGAACTAATATATGCGAGGAATATCTTAGTCTAAATTTATTTTTAAACTATTTGACGGAGGATTTGCTCTGCTGTATGTGATCTCCTCCCTTAACAAATCTAATTGCTATAGAGCATATAGTGATAAATCCTTCAGGAGAGTTTCAATATTAAATCGAATAAAATATTTGTATGGGAGCTATAGCTAAACATCTGAATCGAAGGATTTTGGTGAGAATTTTCCAGAAAAAAAAAGTTATTCGTGATGGAATTCAAGCGTGATAGCGTGATTTCTTTATATTTGGCTGGAAAACCACAAGTGGCTATCGTTAGAGCACTCCGAAAAATGGCTCGTGAGCTCAACATATGGCAATATTCCATTCGGCAAATGTTGAAGAATGAGCTCGGGGTAAAGCCATTGAAATTGCAAAAAGTGTAAGAACTTACACCGCAACAGAAAGAAAATAGACTCAAAAGTGTCCGATGAAAAAACATTCGTTGTCCAGTAGTTTGTAAACGAACAAAATGACCGAGTTAACTTGCCAAAGAGGTCCGCTGAAAATGTTCACCTTCGGTTGGCCACCAGAACTCAAGTGGCGGCCATGGTGATGGTGTGTGATCAACAAGGATGGTGTGGGATCAACAAGGATCTTTGGTACCAGATATCAGAAACAGCTCAGAAATAAGTGCCTAAAATTTGGAGATCGGTTCAGATTAAGATATAGCTCCCATATATATCTTTATCCGATACAGCTCGAAAAATACCTCTGCCAAATTTGATCGCGATCGGTTTAGATTTTTGTATAGCTTCGATAAACATCTTCATCCGTATCATCTTCACTATATATGTAATATCAGCCCAAAATGAATAGATTTTTCCATATTCAATCGAATTTTACCATTTGATGAAACTCGGTCCGAATTTTACCATTTGTGAAGCTTTCTCCAATAAACATTAATGGGAGCTCTACTACTAAATACGCATGGTGGTGTAGGGCATTATATAGTCGGCACCGTCCGACTTTTGACCTTTCCTTACTTTTTAAATATTTCCAAGCGTTTGCGCCGATATAGTCGGATATGTCTTTCGAACTCACAAAGGAGACCCAACTGATATAAACAAGAGTAAAATGTTCGGAAAACATCCAAAAATTGATTCCCCCGTGGCTATGGAATTCGATGAGCGACTTATACAGGGAAATCCAATTTCGCAACATTTTAAGTAAAAAAATGGGGTTTTTGGCCAGAAAAATGTAATACTGAACCACCAATGGCAATGACGGCCAAGACATGTTGATCGATTAACTAAAAGTTATTTCAATATTTCCCTGCAGATCGTATCTCATATATTGTGATATAGAGTTTCCAAGAAACAGATCATATATAGGGTGAGATGAAAAAACTGCAACCAACTTCAGGCTGCTGTTATTTCTAAGCCACTCGCCCAACAGCTGTTAAAATTATTCTAGTGACAGCTCATTATATTGTTTACAAAATCATTTTGGTGAGAATTTTCCAGAAAAAAATTTTAAAAATTAAAAAAATAAAATAAAATTTTAAAAAATTATAAAAAAAATAAAAATGATGTCGTTTGACTTTGTTGCAGTTTTTTTTATCTCACCCTGTATGTATGTAGTGAAATAGGGTATTCGAAATGTAAATAAAAATATTTCAAACTTATTTTTTTCTATTTTTTTATCCAAATGCTTTTTGTTTTATTAAAAAATAAATAAATTTACAAATATAAAAAAAAATTGAAAACAAAAATTAAATCAAATTATTTATGAAATGCTTATCTTACAATAAATATGGAATTTATATCAGTTTTATTGTAACAAAAATAAAAATTATAATAATAGTCAGCAATTCGGTCATAATTTAGGTGCATATTTTTCTGGGGTACACTGTACCCGAAGGCTAATGCCAGAATGGATGTTAAATCAACCCTACTCGAAGGGCCTTAGTAATATGGAGAAATCCAAAGGCAATCCGGACAAATTAGGATCCAAATATTTTTTTTTTTTTTGAAAAAAAAAAAATACTTCATGTTTTGGAGGACTGTCCGACATTTTGTTTAATCAGATGGATCCAATTTTTTTTTGTGGGAAAGATTCATTGGTTCATTTTTAATTTTTTGGTCTATTCATTTTAGTCCATTTCGCCTAAAAAAACTTGAATTTTATTTCGTAAATCCTCTTTCCTGCGCCTTTGAAATGAGAACATTCTCTCTATCAGCCATCATTGCTGGGGTATTGGATTTCAGCCATCCATTGTGACGAGAGCCTTGTGAAAATGGGTGTAAATGCGATTTTTTTTTATTTTTTGTTTTTCAATAAATAATTTCTTTTTTCATATTTTACATATCATAATGTGTGGGTGTTAGTTAATTTTCATCTTATTTTTTTTAAATTTCTGGTGGTTTCCAGAATAGATTTGTTTTCATTTTTCTTGTTAAGAGTAAAGATAAAACTATTTATATGTAGGTATATATATGTACGTTTGTATATGCATATAATTTTTTTTTATTTGTTTGTAGGTATTTATGTATAGATAGATCTCTAGATGTCTCATCAGTTTGAAGATATAATTCAACATACTTAGGTCTACAAAAGAATATTTTTTGGTTGTTTCTATTTATATATGCCTGTGTGTGTGTATGTGTAGGTTTCCATGTTTATGTCCTTCAATCATATTTCGCCTTGCCGGTCTTCATAGTTCACACATATATGTATACAAATATACATATTTTTTAGAGTTTTTGTGTTTTTTATAATAAGTACACATGTCTGTATGTAAGTGAATAATTTAACTACATTAGAAAAAAGTTTGCAAATTTTACACATATTTTTTTATATATTTATATAACACTAGGTATGTATATGCCTAGGTATTTATAGTTTTAGAGATTAAAATAAATATATAAAGTTGTAGTTTTAGTGTATATATATGGTGAGTATGTCTGCCTGTTTGCCATCTCCTCTATTCGTGGGCCTGCGATTCCTGTTGTACCAGCTTAAAACGTCTGGGTGACTTAATCGATCCTTGAGCATTGAATAGACTCTTCAGTTGACCCTTTTGGGCTAATACTTTGCGTATATATCGCGCTACAAGAATTTGTGGCCGTGCCTGCCATTCATTCATTACTTCTTTGGGGGAATTTACCTGGAAAAGATAATTAAAAAACAATAAATTACAGAATTTGAAAAATAAAACTTAAATCTATTTTGGATACAAGCTACAGGCATTCATAACTTTTTAGCACAATTTCGAAATGTTTTTATTTCAGTTGGAGTTCCCAGCAAAACTGTTAAACTTAAACCAGTAAAGAAAGTCTTAGAGGCGGGCGGGGCCGACTTTATGATACCCTGCACGACTTTTCCAATTTAGTAGATCTCCGCATAACAATTAAAAGTTTTTATGGGAGAATTCCGCTATGATTATAATTATAATTTAAAGTTGAAAGGACTAAATATGCCGAAGCATTTGTATCTTTTAAATTCGGACTTGTATTGCCCATTTGGTGCAAAATTAATTCGAAATCAGATATAGATATGGAGCTATATCCAAATCTGAACCGATCTAGATAAAATTTGGCAAAGATATTTCTGAGCTGTATTTGATATATTTCCCTGAATATCGTTGTTACGGAGTGCAAATTACGGTTGTGGGTAGCAAATATAACAAATCGGATGAATAATATATATATGGGAGCTATTGCTATATCTGAACCGATCTTCACCAAATTTGACATACTAGCTTGTAGACTCAATACGGTCGTAAGTGCCAAATTTCATCCCATTTGGACAAATATTAGCCGTTTGGTGCACAATCATAGGTAAATCGGACGAAGTTATATATGGGAGATATATCCAAATCTGAACCGATCTTGATAAAAATTTAGCAAAGGTATTTCTGAGCTGCATTTGATAAATTTCCCCAAACATTATTGTTACAGAGTGCATATTACGTCTGCGGAGGACAAAAATAACAAATCGGATAAAGAGTATATATGGGTGCTATAGCTATATCTGAACCGATTTAGATCAAATTTGGCATACTTATTTTCAGTCCTTATTTGGTTGTATGTACAAAATTCCATACTATTCGGGCTTATATTACACGTTTGGTGCACAAAAAAAGGCAAATGGGACGAAGATATATATGGGAGCTACATCTAAATTTTTACCGATTATCTCCAATTTCAATAGGGTTCCTTCGTCAAAAAAAATGATTTGTGCAAAATTTCATCTGGATAGGGCAATAAATGCGACCTGCATTTTGTTCACAAGGATACATGGACAGACGGGCAGACGGACATGCATAAATCGACTCTGAATGTGATTCTATGCAGAACATTGAAAGAAACTATGGGTCTATCTCGTTCCCTTTTGCCTGTTACAAACAAATGCACAAAGACATAATACCCTGACCACCTTGTGGTGTAGGGTATAAAAATCAGGGGTACCGTTATATGGAGGCTATACGAAGACGTGGACCTGCAGAGGCAATTTTTTGTCATAGGCTGTAGTATCCACTACGAACATCAAATACCAAATATCAACATCAAATACCAAAGAATTCCGGAGAATAATGTAGCTAAAATCATCAAAATACCGAATATCGGGAGGTACCGGTATATGGCGGCAATACCAAAACGTGCACCTACATGGTCCATTTTCAATACCAAAAGTAATGCAGACATAATATAAATTTGAGTAAAATTTTATCAATCTACTTCAATTCGTTCAGAAGCTAGAGTGATTTTCGCAGACGGACAGACGGACGGACATTGATAAATCGACATAGAATTTTATGCTGATCAAGAATACATATATACTTCGTGGGGTCTAAAATGTGTATTTCGAGGTGTTACAAATGGAATGATAAACGTGTGGGCCGCCCTAGCAGCCGATGGTCGCTCTCCACTAGTATTAATCGACCGTGGCATCAGAATAAATGCCGAATATTATCGCGAAAATATTCTGGAGCATGTATTAAAGCCTTGGGCACGCAAACATTTTGCCCGTAGACCTTGGACATTCAAACAGGACAGGACAAAACATGGTTACAAAATGAGGTTCCTCGCTTCATTTCATTGGCCATTTGAAGGCCATAATTCGTACCAAAGGTGACCAATTCGAACAAATCTAAACTTATTCTAAAATTTAATGCTATTTCCGACATTTTTTGTGTTCATTAAATAAAATAAAAAAAAAAATGAAAAAATTATGAAGTTTGACTTTGCTGCAGTTTTTAATGTCACCCTGTACAATGCTATATATAAGTGAGTAGTGAAATAATTGATTGACTGACGGAGAATTAACGCCCAGGCGAAACGGCTGAAGTTTGCATCCAGAAATTTTGCTCAAGTCTGGGATTTTTAGAAACTCGTACTAAACGGGTACGGGAAGTACTAAAATGTACTAAAAATTGTACTAGATATTCTATATTTGCTACAATTTCTTATCTTTTGAAACTTGATATTTGGAATGGGGTGTATGATGGATGTACTATAGGGTTTTTAGAAATTCATACTATGAGTGTACGAAAAGTACTAAAATGTACTACAATTGGTACAATTTCGTATCATGTGAAACTTGAAATTTGGAATGGTAATCAAGGTTGGAGGTTGTTTTGGAAACGTACCAAACGGTAAAATATAAAATAGAAATATGAAATTAACATTGCTGGACGAATGTAGGATTGGGTTAAGGGGGCAGATGTCGAAATTTGTACTTATGTGCCTGAAAAGTACTAACAGGTAGTAAATTTGGTACAATTTTGTTTTGGGTTAACCAATAGAGTTGATATCCTGAAATTTGGAAATAGGACTCAGGTATGTAGGAAGTTTTGGAAATTCGAACTTATGTGTACTAAATAGTACACATTAAATTGTACTGAATTTAGTACAATTGGAATTTGGAGGAATGGTTGGAGGCGGAATACTGAAATTAGCATTACTGGCGGAGTGTAGGATTGGGTTATGGAGGTAGGTTTTGAAATTTGTACTTATTTGTCCAAAAAGTACTAAATGATACAATATTTGGTAATATTTTGATTTGGGTGAACCAATAGAGTTGATATCCTGAAATTTGGAAATAAGATTAATCTCTCATTGTAGGACTCAGGTATATAGGAAACTTTGTAAATTCGAAGTTATGTGTACTAAATGGTACTAAATTCGGTTCAATTTGGATTTGGGTGATCCAATAGAATTGATGTCCCAAAATTTTGGAATAAGAGTACTGTCGAGCTGATATCTTTAAATTTGGATTTAAGATTACTATTGGCGGGTAGGATTGCGGTATTTAGGAAGTTTTAGAAATACGTACTTATGGGTACTACATACAGTACTAAATTTGGTACAATTTGAATTTGTACGAACAAATAGTATATGAAATGTGAAATTTAATATTAGGCTCGCTGTTCACGTGCAGCCTGGATATATGGAGGTGGTTTCGGAAATGTGTACTATAACTGTATGAGAAGTACTGATTGGATATTTAGTATTAGGTGAAGAGATAGACATAAAATTCTGAAATTTTATATTTAGATTATGGACAATTGATACCTCCTAAATTTTGTACGCACTAAATGGTACTAAATTTGGTTTTGGGTGAAGGGATAGGTCTGGAATCGTCATATTTACATTTTGAGGTCTCTGTGGGTATGTGGAATGCACTATGTGGTACTAAATTGGGTATTGAGTTAACGGATAGAGCTGGAATCCCGAAATTTGATATTGAGGTTTCTATTGGTAACTGGAATTGAGATCTTGATGTTGTTTTGGAAATGTGAACTATAACAAGTTCGGCCGGTCCGAACTTTGAATACCCTCCACCATTTGGAACGAATTAAGACATTTTCAAAAAATAAAAATAAAATCCATTAAACATTCTGTTAAAATCTCGGAAGGTGGCGATATATGGGGGGATGAACGATATTGTGGACCTATATAGACAAATCTATGTCTAGGGATAAAGTGCTCACAAATAACTCCTTGCATAGAATTTAAGACAATTCCGTGTAAAAATGTGGCTAAAATCATCAAAATACTGAATATCGGGGGTGCCGTTATATTGGGGCTATACGATATCGTGGACCTATATAGACAATTCTCTATCAGGGGGTAAAGTGCCCACAAAGTACTCTTCGTGTGGATTTTCAGACTATTCTATTGGAAAATGGGGCTAAAATCATCAAAATACCGAATATCGGGGGTTACCGTTGTATGGGGGCTATACGATATCGTGGACTTATGGAGATAATTCTCTGCCAAGAGATAAAGTGCTCTTAGAGAACTGCGTGTGTGGATTTTCATACAATTTCATTGAAAAATGTGGCCAAAATCATCAAAATATCGGATATCGGGGATACCGTTATATGGGGGCTATACGATGTCGTGGACCGATATAGCCCATCTTCGAACTTGACCTGCCTGCAGACAAAAGAGTGATCTGGGCAAAATTTTAGCTTTCTATCTTAATTCGTTTAGCCTGTAGCGTGATTACAACAAACGGACGGACGGACGGACAGGTCTAAATCGTCTTAGAATTTTACGCTGATCAAGAATATATAGACTTTGTTTGGTCTAAAATGATTATTTCGATGAGTTACAAACGGAATGACGAACTTAATATACCCTCCATACTATGTATGGTGGAGGGTATAAAAATGGTATTCGATAAAGGTATAGAACTGGAATCCTGAAATTTGATATTGATGTCTCTGTTGGTGTCTGCGGTTCACAGAAGGTGCTTTGGAAATGTGTACTATAATTGTTCCAAAAGTACTAGGTGGTACTAAATTGGGTATTAAGTGAATGGATGCAAATGGAATCGCGATTTTTTTTTATTGAGGTCTCTATTAGTATCAGGGATTGACAAATATAGGTTGTGTTGGAAACAACTACAACTTATCTCTCTTCACAAAACAAAAACCTAATTCCTTAAAACAAAGAATCTTATTCAGAACACAAACTCCACAACGATTTGGCGCAATGAAAATAAATTTATATAAATTGTATATTCCTGTGATAAAAGTTAAAATGGAAAAGTAGAAGCAACTAAATTGGTCACCATCGCATTCTTACCTGATCACCGTTGAGACGATTCAGCAAGGCCACACAGACAACGGCAGCCTTGATGCCAGCATGATATGTAAGGGCAGCAAAAATGGTACTCTCCATTTCAATATTGACGACACCATTGTCGGCGAGTTTTTGTAAATATTCCATTTTATCGGCTTCGGAAAAATCACAGAATGCGCCGTCCAAACGGCCTTGACCTAAGGAGAGAATAAAATCAAGGGTTATTTCTATTCCAAAATTCAGTTCGTTTTTTTCCTAACCAACCTTCATAGAAATCATTGGTGCACAATGTCTTGCCAATTATGGTATCATAGGGATCATCGGGACTGGCCAAGGCCTTAAGTTCACGAGCCAACTTCTTGTCCAATTTGGCGGGGCGATGAACGACTTTACCCAAAATGGTCTAGAAAATAAATCAAAAACATTTCATTTGTTGTAATTCATTTGAATTTTCTTTTGTTTGTGTTGTTGTTGTCTAACTTACAAATTCATGAGAATTCCTCAATTGACCGTCCAGCGCATCCTCGGTGATGATGACAGTGCCACCCTCTACACCAATGCCACCACAAGTGCCAATACGTATGAAGATCGGGTCTTGGCACTTGGCATGATACATCAGTTTGATCATTTCGTGCATCAGAATGCTAACAGAGGGCGTTCCCATGCCGTGACTGACGCAAAGCACTGGTCCAACTTTGTACATCGAATACCGATACGAGTAGGCGCTGATGTCCTGCAACATCGTGCCTGCAGGTAATTTGTAGCCGATTTCATTCATAATGAAATGTGCAAAGTTCTCCATACGCTTTGGTGTCCCGCCCATGCAAACGAACTGAAAATAAAAAAAACGGAAAATTGGTTAGAAACAAATTTATTTTATTGAAAACTTTTAGAAACTGGGTTTTACGATTTTTAAAAATATGAATCCTAGGTAAATTATTTATTTATTATTTCTTGAATTCAAAGGATAGAAAGGATAGATGGGATAGAGCTGAAATGCTGAAATTTAATGTAGGTATCACTGTTGGTATATGTGTTGGAAATTTGACTGTGGTTTGGAATTGTGTACTATAAAAATATACGAAAAGTACTAAATGCCACTAAATTGGGTATTGGGTGAAGGGATAGAACTGTAATTTAGCAATTTGATATTGAGGTCACTGTGGCCATCTGGAATTAAGATATGAAGGTGGGTTTGAAAATGTGTACTATAATTGTACCAAAAGCACTGAATTGTACTAAATTTGGTATTGGGTGAATAAAATCTTCAAATTTTATATTTAGGACTCAACTGGTATCTAGAGTTGAGATATGGAGGTGTGTACTATAATTGTACGAAAAGCTCGAAATAGTACTAAATTTGGTATTGGACGAAGGAATAGAGCTGGAATCCTCAAATTTGATATTGAGGACTTTGTTGGTACCTAGAAGACATGGAAGTGGTTTTGGAATTGTGTACTATAATTGTACGAAAAGTACTAAATAGTACTAAATTTGGTATTGGGTGTAGGCATAGAACTGTAATTCAGCAATTTGATATTGAGGTCACTGTGGTCATCTGGAATTGAGATATGAATGTGTACTATAATTGTACCAAAAGCACTAAATAGTACTAAATTTGGTATTGGGTGAATAAATAGGCCTGAAATCTTCAAATTTGATATTTAGGACTCTACTGGTATCTAGAAATGAGATATGGAGGTGTGTACTATAATTGTACGAAAAGCACGAAATAGTACTAAATTTGGTATTGGGTGAAGGAATAGAGCTGGAATCCTCAAATTTGATATTGAGGACTCTGTTGGTACCTAGAAGACATGTACTAAAAGTACTAAATAGTTCGAAAAGTACTAAATAGTTCTAAATTTTTTATTGGGTGTAGAGCTATATATATATGCCACTGTTGGTGTCTGTGGGTAAGATATGGAGGTGGTTTTGGAAATGTGTGCGATATATATGTACGAAACGTGTAAATAGTACTAGAGTTGTGTATATGATGAAGGGATTGAGCTGGAATCCCGGAATTTAATATTGGGTGCTGTTGTTATCTAGAATTGAGATATGGAGGTGTTTTTATACCCTACACCACAAGGTGCATTTGTTTGTAACAGGCAAAATGAAACGAGATAGACCCATAGTTCCTTTCGATGATCTGCAAAGAATCACATTCTGAGTCGATTTATGCATGTCCGTTCATCCGTCTGTCCATGTATTTTTGTAAACAAAGTACAGTTTGCATTTATTACCCTATCTAGATGAAATTTTGCACCGATTATTTGTTTGGCCCAAGGACGAACCCTATTGAAATTGGCGATAGTCGGTCAAAATTTATATATAGCTCCCCTTTTTTATATCTTCGTCCGATTTACCTTTTATTGTGCACCAAACGTGTAATGTCGAATAGTATGGAATTTTGCATATTCACCCAAATTAGGTCTGAAAATAACTATGCCAAATTTTATCGAAATCGGTTCAGATATAGCTATAGCTCCAATATATATTGTTCATCCGATTTGTTATTTTTGTCCTCCGCAGCCGTAATATGCACTCTGTAACAACAATATTTTGGGGAAATACATCAAATACAGCTCAGAAATACCTTTTCTAAATTTTATCGAGATCGGTTCAGATCTGAATATAGCTCCCATATGTAACTTCGTCCGATTTACCTTTTATTGTGCACCAAACGTCTTACATTTGCCCAAATGGGATGAAATTTGGCACTTACGACCGAATTGAGTCTAGAAGCTAGTGTGTCAAATTTAGTGAAGATCGGTTCAGATATAGTTATAGCTTCCATATATATTGTTCATCCGATTTGTTGTATTTGTTACCCACAGCCGTAATATGCACTCCGTAACAACGATAATCAGGGAAATATATCAAATACAGCTCAGAAATATCTTTGCCAAATTTTATCGAGATCGGTTCCGATATATATCTTTATCCGATTTTAAATTGATTTTGCACCAAATGGGCAATACAAGTCCGAATTTAAAAGATACAAATGCTTCGGCATATTTAGTCTTTTGAACTTTAAATTATAATTATAATCATAGCGGAATTTTCCCATAAAAACTTTTAATTGTTATGCGGAGCTCTACTAAATTAACAAAGTGGTGTAGGGTATCATAAAGTCGGCCCCGCCCGACTTTACGACTTTCTTTACTGGTTTTTCCATAAATTCGTCTCATTCGATTTATTTGCTAAATATCTGTTTTTCAACTCACCTTAACATCACCGAACATTTCATTCAAATCGTGAGATTCACTGCCCAAGGCCAAATGATAGAGAATATCCTGATCCATGAGTTCAATATTTGGGTTACGTAATTTGATAGTGCCATCGGAATATCTAAGATAAGAAAAATTTTGAAATAAATATTAATTTAATTAATTAATTTTTTCATAAAACACCGACAATTCTAAAAAATGTCTAAAATTTATATTTGACTTGATACTAGGTTCCATATAATTTCAATTTTCAAGATTATTTCATACAAATGTTAAACGCCAAATTTCGGCCGGTATCTTACGAATAAATACTTCTATGTTGTCTTCCAATGCGAGTCAATTGACGTGGTCTCATTTAGACATGAGCTTTAACATAGCCCCACAAAAAATTAAAGTCTAAAGGCTTTAAATCAATTTGTACAGTTTGACAACTTTTTTTTATCAAATCTTAATACATCGTAGCCCTAGAGTTCGAATCAGTGACAACTATTCCCAATTTCATATGTATGGTTTTTTTGTCATATTTTTTTAAAGATTTTTTTTAGGAATTTTTGGCAAAGGGATTATTGTCGATATCTTCAAATATTTCTCCAAGACTTTCAAGAATATTTTTTTCAAGACTTACTAGCCCAATAGTCGCGGTATTTAAAAAAATGTTTTAAGGGACGTCAGCTCTTACAACTCGTATATTTCGTTAAACTCCAGCGCTTTTATTATTTAATTTTCATCAATTTTTGGGACCATTAGAGGTGTAAATTTCTATATTTTAAGAATATATTTGAGAATTTATAGAAATAATTCTAAAACTTAAAAAATGTTTTTTGAGAGCCCATTTTTTTATTTATTTCTATTTAGAAACTTATTTATTTTCAAATTCTTCAGCGTTCAACGCTATTGGTTTTTCTTCCATTTAAATGCACTAACGCAGAGCGGCGGTATCAATAAACAAGTAAAAAAGCAGTAAGTTCGGCCGGGTCGAACTTTGAATACCCTCCACCATTTGGTACAAATTTGGCAATTTTCAAACAAATAAAATCCGTTAAAAATTCCTTTAAAATCTTAAAAATACCGAATGTAGCCGTATATTAGGTTCTATACGACGACGTGATCTTGCATAGGCAACTTTTGTCACAAGCTATTATAATATTCAAGTGCTTGAAAAAGTTGAAAAAAAACTGTTTATAAGGTAACTAAAATCTCCCCCTGACAGCCTATACTAGACAAATTATAGGCTATGTTAATTGTTGTATTGTTTGTTTTTTTTTTTTTTATTTAAATAGATCATTACTCAGAAGATGAGGTAGGTAGGTAGGTAGGCCTGTGCATTTCATTTGTCGGATGTTGAGATCACTTCTCGTGATCGTAATCGTCAGATAAGTGCATATACATTTAAATGTGTCTGGGACAAACAAAAGCGGAACAACGGAAAATTCAAATATGGGGAATACCCGTAAACTTAACATATAAATAAATGGTTTGCCGCTTCTAGGTAAACTGACCCGAAAGACATTAAATCTATGTGAAATGTGGACTTCATGAAATCAGGATCTATATGTTGGAAGTAGACCAATATGCATTTTTTAAGGTAGAGTTTAAATCTTGGAGGCTATTTAAAAATAAAAGGAGGACTATACCAAAGGTATAGCTACGTAAAATTTTTGAAAAGGAAAGATTCTGCTTTATTAGAATCCAAAGTGTCAGATTGCTAGAGATTTAGATAACATTAAAATACCAAGTAGTGACGTTAGAAGAGGACTAGACCTAAATGGGAACTAATGTAGCCAATTTTTAAACATTCCAGACATACAGCAAAAAAAAAAAAAAACGCATAACAAATCGAAACCCATTATTTTAACAAGAACATGCAGAAGAAGAGAAATGTCTATATAGTTCCAGGATATCGTATAGCCTCCATATAACGTTACCTCCCTATATTCGGTATTTTGATGATTTTAGCGACATTATTCACCGTAATTGTTTCAAATTTGGTATTTGAAGTTCTTAATAAATGCTACAGCCTATGACAGGAGATTGTCTGTGGAGGCCCACGACTTCGTATAGCCTACATATAACGGTACCTCCCGATATTCGGCACTTTGTAGATTTTAGCGACATTATTCGCCGGAATGCTTTCAAATTTGGTATTTGAAGTTCATAATGGATACTACAGCCTAAGATAGAAAATTGTCTGTGCAGGTCCTCGTCTTCGTATTGCCGTTATATAACGGTACCTCCCAATATTCCGAATTTTGATGATTTTAGCGACTTTATTCACCGGAATTGTTTCAAATTTGGTATCTGAAGTTCGTAATAGATACTACAACCTAAGACAAAGAATTGTCTGTGCAGGTCCACGTCTTCGTATAGCCCTCATATAACGGTACCTCCTAATATTCGGTATTTTGATGATTTTAGCGACATTATTCACCGGAATTGTTTCAAATTTGGTATTTGAAGTTCGCAATGGATACTACAGCCTAAGACAGAAAATTGTCTGTGCAGGTCCACATCTTCGTATAGCACTCATATAATGGTACCTTTCGATATTCGGTACTTTGTTGATTTTAGCGACATTATTTACCGGAATTGTTTAAAATTCGGTATTTAAAGTTCGCCATGTATACTACAGCCCAAGACAGAAAATTGACTATATTGTTCCAGGTCTTCGTATAGCCCTCATATAACGGTACCTCCTGATATTCGGTATGTTGATGATTTTAGCGACATTATTCACCGGAATTGTTTCAAATTCAGTATTTGAAGTTCGTAATGGATACTACAGCCTATGACAGGAGATTGTCTGCGCAGGCCCACGACTTCGTATAGCCCTCATATAACGGTACCTGCCGATATTCGGTATTTTAATGATTTTAGGTACAATATTTGCCGGAATTGTTTGACATTTCTTAATTCGTAATTCCTAATAGGTACTACAGCCTGTGACAGAAAATTGTCTATGCAGTTCCTCGTCTTCGTATAGCCCCGATAAGATTTATTTTTATGATTTTAGCGACATTATTCACCGGAATTGTTTCAAATTTGGTATTTAAAGTTCGTAATAGATACTACAGCCTAAGGCAGAAAATTGTCTGTGCAGGTCCATATCTTCGTATAGCGCTCATATAACGGTACCTCTCGATATTCGGTATTTTAATGATTTTAGCGACATTATTCACCGGAATTGTTTCAAATTTGGTATTTGAAGTTCGTAATGGATACTACAGCCAGTTTTGCATTTGAATATTGTAATGGCTTATGACAAAAGTTGCCAATGCAGGTTCACTTCGTCGTGAACGGCTACATTGGGTATTTTTAAGATTTTAACAGATTTTATTTTTTTTGGAAATTACAAAAATTTGTTCCAAATGGTGGAGTGTGTTCAAAGTTCCGGCCGAACTTACAGCCTTTTTACTTGTTTTGTCTCATGGTGTTCATTCAAGATATTAATTCTCCCCGAAAGTACCAGAAAGAGTGGACCGATTTTACTGACCTTCTAACTTGATCTAAGTTTGATAAAAATATTACCAAGTTTTTTCGATAAGGCACATTTTGGTCGTATGGAAAGTTAAGGGCATATGTCTTTCGATTCGGCCAAAATGGGCCAGATAGCGACGGTATGAATATGATTTTTTTTTTTTTTTGGAAATGCAATTACTCGTCGTGAATCCTTCGGTTATTAAGATGGTCAATACATGTAGATATTGCAATTTTTATACCCTCCACCTTGGAAAGGAGGGTATATTAACTTTGTCATTCCGTTTGTAACATCCTTAAATATTCGTCGTAGACCCCATAAAGTATATATATTCATAATCAGCATAAAATTCTAAGTCGATTTAACGATGTCCGTCTGTCTGTCTGTCTGTCTGTCTGTCTGTCCGTCTGTCTGTCTGTCTGTCCGTCTGTCTGTCTGTTGAAATCACGATACAGCCCACATTATTTGACGTAGAGCGCCAAAATTTAGCAGAGCAATTGGTATTGTGTCTAGGATGGTTGGTATTGAAAATGAGATATATCGGTCCACGTTCTGGTATAGTCCCCATATAACGGTACCTCCCGATATTCGGTATTTTGATGATTTATGCCACATTATTTAACGGATTTGTCTGAAAATTGGTATTTGTATGTCATAACAGGTCCCTGTATGTGTGGCAAAACATAGCATATATAGGTCCACGTTTTGGTATAGCCTTCATATAATGGTACCTCCCGATATTCGATATTTTGATTATTTTTGCCACAGTTTTTAACGGATTTGTCTAAAAATTGGTATTTGTTGGTCATAATGAGTTCCAGCTCCGGTGGCGAAACATTGCATGTATGGGTCCATGATTTGGTATAGCCCCCATATAACGGTACCTCCCGATATTCGGTATTTTGATGGTTTTTGCAACATTTTTTCACTGATTTGTGTAAAAATTGGTATTTGTGAGTCATAATGGGTCCCAGTTCGTGTGGCGAGTCATTGTAGTTATAGGTCCACGTTTTGGTATAGCCCCCATATAACGGTACCTCCCGATATTCGGTAATTTGATGATTTTTGCCCCTTTTTTTCACGTATTTGTCTGAAAATTGGTATTTGTAGGTCATAATGGGTTCTAGCTCCGTTGGCGGAACCTTGCATGTGTAGGTCCACGATTTGGTAGAGCCCCCATATAACGGTACCTCCCGATATTCGGCATTTTAATGGTTTTTGCCACATTTCTTCTAATGTTTCCTTTACCCTAAGGTGGAGGGTATTAAAAGTTTGGCCCGGCCGAACTTAATGTTTTTTTTACTTGTTTAAACTCTCTCCAGTGTGTGTATCTATTATATTGCTTCAATTTTTGTAAACTTTCCGATTTGCTTAATTGCCATTCATTTTGAATTTTGTATTAGCCTGTCGTTGTAAGTGTCACTGACATTGGTTGATATTGTGTTACAATTTTATTACACTACTTACTCGGCTTCCAAAATTACGGCCATGTTTGTTTTTGTTTTAATTTTTTGCAATCCCCAAAGAGTGGGAAGTGGAGGAACTACTCCATATTTCCTACATTTCCCATTACTAGATACTTAGATGTATGTGAATATGTATTTACATGTCCCAGACTGAATGTCATCCGATAAGATAAGACACAC